CCACACTACCTTCCTCGGTGGCGCTCCTTATCATCTTGATGCGCTCCAATGAGGAAGTCAGAATAGCGGCTTGTCTACGGCGAAGTGTTTTGCGCAGAGCGTGTGATTGAAAGAACAAGGAAAAAAATCGCCAAAAAAGTCAGGGATTGATTATCATCTGATCACTATATTAGGAGCTAATGTAGAAAGAGTGAAATTGTCTATTCAGAAAGTTGCGCCATGAATCCTCACCTTCTCATGTAACTATGGTCATTTTCCCTTTGCAGGATGCCGCTCTCAACGATCCGAATGTCTGCGAAACAGCCCTCATAGATCTGGGTTATGCGGTAAACTGTCTCTCAATAGTTTCACTTGCATTCTTGATGCTAATGGGCTTATGCGCATAGTGAGTTGAACAATGCTAAGTCTTTGTTTTGTTAATATGTGTACACAACATATCATTCCTTACAGCTGGCCGAACTTGCGTGACAGTCAGGTACTTGGTGTACTAACAGGATACGCCGTGCCAAGCCGTGACTTTCGTCAGCCTTATACATAAACTCAGCTTATTACTATTTTACTTTGTATTCACGATATTCTCCGACCAGAGAGTCTCCGGCAAAGCCTGCAATTTTTTCGGAGCTCTATCTTACTTGGCTGTTGCTATGGTAACTTCTATTGCTTATTCGATTTTTACTACCGTGCACCAAAGACGGTACTCCCAGGTCACGAACTGAGAAGATTGTAATAGAGCTACGCATTGCGTCATGGTTGATGCGAGGTGTGAGCAGGGCTACTTTCGCGAAGAGATTACGACAAACCTGATGCGTGAATCGGGCGGGTATCGAATACCCCTGGCGCACTGGAGGGTATGGCCTCACGTAGGGTCCGGGTGGAAAAAAATCTGAGTTCTTAGGCGCTGGAGGGTATGGATTCACAGAGAGTCCGGGTGAAGTTATCTGAGCCCTGGGGCATGGCGAAAGGTGCCAGAGGCGTTGCAAGTCGACCGTACCTGCCATTCGGGCAACACGGAAGATGCATTCTCGCAACCACCCACTGTGATTCGGTCGACACAACTTAGACGTCTTGGCCGGCACACTTCACCCAACGACACCGCTGCTACCGCCTCCCTCTCGAACAAAATACCTTCGACAAAACAAAAAAAATCAAGTCCATCAAAATACGTTGGAGGACAGCCATGTTTTGTTGAGGCACGTTTTTCTCAAACTTACGGTCTTATGAATTCGTGCACAACGTTTCTTACACTAATGTACTGATTTCAGCTCTATAATTTTAACCATTTTCCAAGCACTGCGTCTTACTGCTGTAATCGGGTCAATTCACTCTTGGATTCATCTAATCCTTGCACCGTCTTCTTCAGTTACCTTTAGCCTTCGTAAGTCTTGAGTTTTCATAAGTCTTGGGCCTTCTTCCACTTATCCATGAAAACTGGTCCTAAAGGCACGGTCCGCGACAAAGCGTAGGTGATGTTGCAGAAATGTGGAAAATTCGCCAAGTGAACCGTCTATGAAGAGAAAATGCCAAAGGGAACGTTGGAAACGCATTCGTCAGGCCTCCTCTAGCCTCAAACAACTGTAGAGGTAAAAGACCGCGCGCTGGATTCCCGTCGGCTGATTCCCAGTAATGAACCCTATGACTCTACAAGAGACATTGAATGCATCCACTCCATGATACTTGCCCGGGAGCATTACTTTTGGCTGGAAGGCCGACTTTGGAGGCGGAGTCTGGAGGCGGAGTCACTGGAAAAAGGGATGTACCACTGAAGCAACTTTGCGCCTTAATTCCTTTACCGTACAACTTTCCGCCGCGAAACTGGCACAGGGTTGTCCACTCCGGACCGCACTACCTTCCCACATAACCTCTTGCATTTTCATAGGTCATCGCGGACCGTTCCTTTAAGAAATTTCATTCGTCACAAACATCCACTCTTGGATTTCACTTTCCTCCCCCTCAGACTTCTTCTGCCCTCTTCTGCGGAATGAGTAATGTGTTGATTTTCTGGCCAGCCTTCTAACCAGAGAGAATTTCAGTTGTCCCATTCGCGATCTCTGTACTGTTGCTGCTGCTAACCAATTTCTTCGATCGTGGCGACTGCTTCTGCTGGGTCCGACCGGACTACATTATTTATGCTGTCATCATACCAGTTTCTTTACTAGTTTTGAACGGTATTGTATGCACAATTCTTGTCTGCATACGACTGTTCGGTATCAAAAGGAAACTAAGCAAATCGGTAAGCTTCTACCTTTTTACCTCTTCGTCAAATTTGATTTTCAACGATCCATTTATCGATCTTAGGCTTGTTTTTTCTGCATATTGTTGGTCCTTAATCAGTCAACCTCTTGAGCCAGTAGTGGGTGGGGTCATATTGGAGAAAGATGCGGGTCGTAGAATATTATACGAATGATTAGAATAAGTGGATGGATTCTTGAAGATACACTGTTCACCCACATGCTTTCCAGGTTGATTTTTTCAACGGGCTGGGTGGGTATACTTGAAACTTCCGCCACTTACTCAAAACGAGTTAAGCTGGAAGAAGGGAGTGGGAAGAGAGGGGCAGAGAGTCAAGAGCTGAAGTAGCTGTTCTCGTTATGTCTGCCTCCTCTTGCAAGGCAAGGGCGCTTGCTAAGAATGGCGCGTATAAACCAGCTGGCACACGCTAAGCCACGGTCAGGATACGCTACTTGCGCTGCGGCAATATCTTAACTTTTGCTGGGGCGGCGCATTGTTCTTTACGGCTTGAACCTTTGGCGCACATAGCTGCTGTGGAAGTTGGGCCCCCGGCATCGTCCTTTATGGCTCGAAACTTTCGCCAGCCTGTACTTAGAGGGGCGGAGTGCAAGCTGGAAGAAAGGAGGAATGGAACGATAGCGCTGGTCAGCGCGCGCGCGACTATGCTGACACAGATACGGGCTATGCGCATCTGGTGCCAATTAGCATGGCGTGCGACCAAAAGCCATGCCCGCCGCTCCATCTGCTCCTCTTCCCACAAAAGCCTCCCAGTGCTGAAGTGAGCACATTCTAGACTGGCGACTGTAAGCGACAGCGCCCTTTTTGCAGTAGGCTCATATGGACAGTTCAGGCGTTGGCCTGAGTGTGGCAGGCTCGTTCTTTAAATGTCAGCAATGAAGAGTTTTTAAGGATAATAATTGAAACTAGTGGTGTAAAGAATTCCTAACCGAGGTTTCCGGTGAGATACGCACAGGATCGTCAGTTTTTGTCCCAACCACGTAGTATTAGAGCAAGCTCTCGGCTCTTAATGGCCAAAATCCTCTCCGTGGCGAAAATGCCTTGGTAGGTTTATGTTTGTGTTCCGCTATTAAATGACCAGAAAAGCATGTTTCACTGGTTTATGCTGGTTCGGTAATTGGTAGGAACTTGTAGGATTGCTTGCTTCTCTTCGATGCAAACAAGCGACTATGTTAAAGTTTATCATGGGGCTACGCATCTCACTACTATGCCGCCATCTTTGCACGGCTCATCGCAGTATAGCTCGTTTTTATTCGCATATTACTAGGCCTAGTTGAAGCCATATTGGCCCAATATAGGCATCTGTGATATGTTGCACTTTGGAAGCTGGCTGGTGATCCAACGACCCCCTAACTCGGCCACTGCTTTGCGAAAGGCCCGTTTTTTGGAGAAAAAACTAGAAAACATCTGGAGTAACTGAAAAACAGTGGCAACAAGTTGGGAAAACTGCGAACATGGTGAATGGTAGATAAAATAGGAAAGGGGGGCGCATCTAGAAATGAGAAAGCCTACGGCAATCACAAGGAAGTGGCGAGTCTGTGGTCCGATTACGAGCTGTCTTGCAGTGAAGAAGCACGATATTTTTTGTATGTGTGCGAATCGCCCACATAGAAGGAAAAATTCCGGCTTTCGGGCTATAGCACGAATCGCTTCAATTAAGCATTGTAGCCGCGGTAACTCGGACTGTTCTCACCTCTATGTGGGAGTCCCTCATTCGGCGGGCAGACGCTCGGTTGAAAAGCGGTAGTCGATATGATGGACCAGAACGCATTTCAGTTCCTTTGAGGCTTACTGTCTTGGCGAGGAAATCCCCGCGCGCAAACAACGGGATCAGCTGCGCTACAAGAGTAGCTAAGAGAGCAGCTAATTGGGCAAATGTACTTAGCTATTCTCAGGGGCCTTTTACGCTAGCTTCCGTGAGACGGCAATGTACGATGACCGACTTTAGGCGTTCGACCTAGTGCAATTCATGAGAATTACCACTAACTAGGCGAAGAAAACAGAATACAACAAATCGTCAAGCTAACGCCCAAGTATAGCCTCTTGACAGCGCTCCGATATGAGGAGTTCTCTGGGGGCGGCGGAACCCACTTTTCTTTTGATCTATAAGCTAGCATATGGGTAGCGGCTGTCGTATTTCTGGCAGCCACGGCTCTTGGGTTAGACATACATATGAAGACGTATCATCAGTTTCGGCCGCTCAGTGGCTGAGTAACATTCGTCCTTTATAACTAGAGCAGAATACGGCAATTTTCGAGGGGCGGGGACATCGGCGAAGGGCTGGAGAGTTTGGCTCAGTTTCGCAAGTAAAATCTGACGTCATTGGCCAAATCATTCCACGTGGGGAGAGTTTCAGCTGCGCATGGGTTGGTCGCTGTTGCCACAGAAGAACCTAATGCAAGGCATAACTTCTGCTTTCAAGTAATCGTACCCTTGAGGGTGTGACTGCTTTTTACTGGTAGAGAGGACAGACTTTCTTCCCACCGGTGAAGAGAACTCAGCTAAAGTGCATACGAACGAATTACAGTTCTTTTTCTAACTGCCTAAGATTGCAGTAAAAACGGATTTTGATGGTATTTATGGAATTGTTTCAGATTCTCCAATATCTCACCCTTTATTCCCCATACACTACTGCATGGCATTACGTATTCACTATTGTCATGGGATCTCAAGGAACAATACTTGCGTTACTTTTCCTATACAAACGACGACGTTCCATGTCATCTTATCGTCGATCGCAGCAACTCACACAAATGTCATCCCGGAAGGGAACGTCGAGATCTTGACAGCGCAAAACCTATCTCAGGGTTGTTGGCGTTGAAGGACCTCTTAGACATGCAGTCATTATTGCTGCAGAGAGGAAGGGTGTGAGGGGCGTGAAGTAAAGCAATCAGAACAACGTTTTCAGAGCAAGTCCTCACTTAGCAACAGTTGGAAAAGGGCTAGAACTCACGAGCCCTCAACACGCCCTCTTGTTTGCTAGAATAATGACCGTAGCTTTCTGAAGGATGAACTGGTCTACATTGTTGAGCTCCCTCTGCCATCATCTTTGCCGCTGCCTCTTATTCTTCCTCTGAGAATTGGCCAGTACTTGTATTTGTACAAATTTGTCCGAGCATCCCATCTGCATAAGAGCTGGTCTTATCGATTAACGTATTTTGTCCCGGTTTACTACAGGAGCATATCACTACCAAGCTGTTCTAAAGTCACACTCAACGCTGACCGTATGGGCGGAGACAGTCAACCATTTTGCCTTCATCATTTGTGAGCCCTTTATTTGCAAAGCCCTCTGGAAGGGAAGTCTCCAATGAGAAAGACCTAGCAGCACACAATGACACATTAAGGCAGCGTTCATACTTCGCGACGGCAGCGCTTCGGTCGCGCATCGACGCGATCGATGCAGTCGAAAGCATGCGCATCGATCGCGTCGAACGCGCGACCGAAGCGCTGCCGTCGCGAAGTCTGAACGCTGCCTAAGCCCCGTCGGTGTAGTGAGCGTCTAGTGCCTTCTTCAGCATCTGTGTCAGCCATTTTTCGAGCGAAAATATTCATGTTCGCAGTTCTCTTTAGAAATTAGTTTGCATTGTTCATAGGTACTCTTAAAGCTATCGCTTCTTTGGAAGCTTTCCTTCGTTGTTCTGCTCAGTCGGGTTTTTGTTACTGCTTTTGCGTGATTTCGTTGTAATTATATATAAACACTTCAATACTTGCACTTGAATATGGAGTTCGAATTAGGTATTGAATTGAACGTAAATAATTGTATTGAGATTTTTGCATGATTCTTGCACGGAAATAAAGGCTACCTAATTTTCTGATACAATCACTTGCCCTAGTTGTTCGCCCTAACTAGCCATAAGAAAAGAGAGACTAGAACCTTGAGTGGAATATTGTACCTCAAATGGTTTCCTTCATCATATCACACGATACAGTTGTATCGTATGATATGATGTGTGTACCATACTCAAAGGAATGCAAGGCTGAAGGTCAAAGGCGCAGTCCACGTTGCTTGTATGGGCGGAGAAATAATCGGAGGAACCAAACTGCGGAGCTCTCCTACTGGCACGCCTCTAGTGCACCAATGAGAAGGCAGAATGAGAAAGGCAGAAGTTGTGTGTCTTCCCACCCCCTATGCTTAACGTGGCATAACGTGGACTGTGTTTTTTACAGAACGCTCGACATGAAAATAAAAGAGAAACGTTGAAACCTAAGGAGTACCTCTCTCTTTTCGCTGTTGGACCAGCTTCGGCCATCTGCTCGATCTCATCCATCAGCCTTCTTTCAAGGCCATTTCCAACCTGACCCATCTTCCTCCTGGAACTAAAGCGTCAGGCTTTGAACTAAGAAAATGAATGAACGCTCTGCGGCTATATATACTCGAAATTCCTGGGATCGGTAGGGCGTGGTTGCGTACTTAATTTTAAAATGGCGGCGGCCCAGGTTTTCGTGAGATATTTCATTTTGGAGCAGTCGTAATCATGTCTACATCTAACACAGAACAAGATAGCAGTTGTTTCAAATTGAAGTATCCCACGAGTAACCCGTCCTATGCCATGCTCAAAAGCCACGCCTACTCCGTCTCAGGGATAAGGAGTGTAACTTTAAGGGTTTGGAATCGAACGCACTAGATTTGTCACTGAAAAGCGTGGATCATGGTAACATTCCATAAAGTTGCAGTCAGTGATATTTCCCGAGTATGTATGCGACAATCGTTCGGGCCGCGCGCCTATGCTCCACTTCTTCGAAAGGTGGCCAGTCAGTGTTGACGATGATGCGGTCAGAAGCACAGATATATGCGCGTCAGAAGCCACAGATATGGTTTGTCGCGATTCAGTTTGGAAGGTCAGAAAGAGCGGGCGAGCTTTGGCCAAGTCGCTCAAGGTATAACTGCCACCTAATTATTCGCCAGATCGCGCGTGGCCAAATTCTGCCATCAGGAGAACGGAAGCAATAAAGGGCCGTGAAAATCACCTCCATCCACCGAGAATCATCGATGTGTGGTAGATGGTGCACGATATTCCCAATTTCCAAACTTCTCTATTTACAGATGCGTTGAGAGAAGAAGGCTCGAACTATTTCATTTCTCACCAGGGAGGTTGTGGAGCTTAAGGAAGGAAGTGGAGCGCCTCTTGAAAAACGCGTTTTTGCATGCATGATGTAGGGGTACCTGCAGAAGACCACCAACTAGTATATGTTTGGCACGTTACTTTCACCCGTCATCTTGCGCCAGCCATCCGAAGTCAGATGCCACTGTTCCCTGACCGACGTTTTTTCTCCCGAGTGCGCGACCGAATAGCTGAAACACTTGGCAAAGGTTAGCTTAGTTGACTCACTAAAACACGAAATATCGCCTCCGCTTGACTCGAAACCTTGCTAGCGCCCGCGCCTATGGGCGCGCAGACGGCGCAAAAATACTCAGAATCACCACAATTGCTGAAACTCGAAATCACAAAATTGCCTTGAAAACTCGCGCCCAGAGCGTAGTTGAGACCCTCTAAAACGTAAGGTCACTGACATCGCTCAACCAAAAACCGTCCTGGCCCGCACCACGCGCAACCCGGTCCCGGCGAACAATACCCCCCAAATCGATTGGCCGCCTGTGGCGCGTTACGCCAGGAAGTTCGGTGAGACGAAAGTGATATTCGTATTCTGGATGCAGTTGTCAAACTAGCGCCCAGTAGACAATATTGAGCAAAATCTGGGCACAGAAAAAAACTGTCAGGAACTGGCCTGGTTTTCGGCTCATACTGCCGGCAGTTAGAATGGCGTAAACTTCGCTCGCCCTCATTTTTTGTCGAACGAAGTTCGCTGCTGAAAATTCTGGCCGCTTACCAAGGAAGCCAACTATCATTGCCCCCCCCCCCGCACCTCAATGGCCCATAAAGACTCTCTCGACGTTATTCACTACTAGCTATCTTAATTCGGCATTATGCAGGTACACTTGTTGAAGGAACCATTCTAGGAAACCATTCAGTCTCAAGCAGGTGACCCAAGTAAGTTCCCATCTGCGACTATTTCCCGCCTCGATTAAAATAGTCCCTTCATAGGGACCCTCCACTCAAAGTTGCAAGCGATTTACAGCGCATAGAGGCTCGAAAGCAACCCGTTTTCACAAATCCTTTTTCACTCCTTTTTTTGGTATTCTCAGAGGCGTCTGAAAATATGAACGTCAGCTGGGTGGTCCCTGCCTCCTTATATATGCCAAAAACCATTTCAAATCCTCTTCCAGATCCTGAACCACTCCCTGGTGAGCGACTATATTTAATGAGGATGATTCAGAAGTAGCGATTCAAGGAGAAACAGCTTGCAGAAAGAGCTCATACTCACTAAATTTCGGTAGCGAGTTTTCAGAAGGATGCACCGAACACTTGAATTCAGTAAGAAGTTTCCTCACCTTTCCTCAAGGGGTCCTTCACCAGTTGTCTGACTCGGGAAGGAGATGTGGGAAGCAGGAAGGAAAGATGCCATGTCGGACTCTTCTCCTCCAACCTGAATAGAGATTTCAAGAACATAAAGCAATCCTATCGTTACTACTATTTATATCGCTGATGGAATACAACACTTTGCAGACGATTTTAGAGAGCAGAATAGCGAGGAAATGAAAGCAAAACTACCTCATGGTCTTGCAATTTTGCAAGTCGCTCATCCTCCAACCTCTGGCGTTCCAGTTCCCACCGCAAAAGCGCTTGCTCGTCTCTGAATGAGTTTTAAGATTCGAAAAACTTCATGGCACTGATAGCGAGTTGAATCACGAACAAGGTATTCGGTATTGGTGAAATAAGGCCGTAAAGAGAAGAGGAGGTTCGTACCTCTCCTCTCTAACGTCTCAAAAAATGAGAAGTACCATTGGAGAACAGGCAACGCCAGGTGCAAGCGACGGGCTGCACATTTAGATGTGCACTTGATACCGTTCGATGTTTTGAGTTTGACCTTCCAGGAAAGCACTTTGGTTCAAGTGAACCTGTCAACCGAGTAACTTGCATGCGCAGCGCCAAATTTCGTGGCAGGGGAAACTCAACGTGGAATCCTTTCGGAGAATCACAGTAGGGAAGTTTCTGATAACTGAATCCCTATATTTTTCTATTTATTGCATGTACGCTAGATACATGAGGTAGAAATGTAATTAAAAACCACAACCATAAAAAGGAACAATCTAAAGGAGAACACAGCAACTATAGGTAAAACTAATGATGCAACAAAAAAAAATTGTGCACTCACTCTCGACTAATTTTTCTCATCGGAGGCATAACGGGTCTCGGTTGTGAAACTGGCTGGGGCCACTGCTCCGCCACTTGTCCATACGCAGCATTTCCCGGTGGCGTGTGTTGATGATCCCAATGTCCAAGATACGGCTGTTCCTGCAATACTGCTCTCATTGTCAGCTGGCGACACTTGCACAAATAGTTTTCGAATGTTGCGCTTGTAAGTACCAGG